AATTTATTTTTGTCCCAATAGTGAAGAACTAGAAAATTAGCTAATTGGTATACGTTTTGTAGTGCACATTGTGTTACTGTGCGATAAGAGTGATCTGTTAAAGTACAAATAGGTCCATAATTAATTTGATGATCCTTGTTCATTCTTATGTCGAAAACATCGTGATATGTGTATTGTTGTATCCATTGTCTTTTTTCCGATCCTCTTGTATAAATATAGGAAAACTTGTTAGAAAAATGATACATGATATTGTTCAAGTGCTTATAGCTTATTAATCCTTCGTTCCACTGAATATGGTGAAAATGTTTAGTTATCCATTTGTTTGTTCTTCTTGCTTTGTCATTCAATTGGTTTACTGAAAATGGAGCTTCACATATAAACGGGTATACGACATGTGTAGTCAAATCTAAAATCACTAATTCTTTTATCACAAATTCATCTTTGTTATCATGAAATGCTTGAAATTCTATTACACAGGGTTTTATATCCATAATGTTTAACCCTATCTACACACCACCACGTATAGTGTTCAACTGAATTCACACCGCGCCTTGGTCACTCTTTTATACTGTTTTTTTAATTACACTTCTTGGGTTGCTGGTTCTTCTTAGTTTATGGTTTCATATTCTTCAACAGCTTCTATCGCTTCTTCATCAATTGATTCGAAGTTTCTTAACTGTCTCCACATACCAACTTCATGAGGCAATCTATTAAAAATAGATGTCAAATCAAATCAAATCAAAATATCATTTATTTCGAAAAAAACAGACATAACATAATATTATGATCCCTGTACAAAAATATTTACAATATTATTTATTTTTCTAGGTTATATTTAATTTACTATAAAAGCTTTTTAAATCAAGCGAAATTATCCCCCACATAGGATAATTTAGTCCTGTGAGTGGGAGAGAGTCGTTATATTATTATATAATATTATATAATAATATTATTATATTATTATATATATATTATATATTATTATATTATTATATTATTATTAGAGATTGTTTTTAAATTATGAAAAAAAGGAAATTTGAACAATTTAAAAGTTGAAAGTTGCGCTGGAGGACTGAGCGAATGGTGCCCCCACCTCCCCCCTACCCTTCCCCAAAAGATAACCTGCTACTGTACTTCCCAAGCACACCCAAACACACACGCGCGCGCACAAACCCACACACACACGCACACACACATACACACTGCTGCACTCACTCCGACACCAACAGGCGGCTGGTAGCCCTAGGGCCGTCAATGCTCTGTCCCTGTGGCGCAGAATCGGGAACAGCTCACATACGTGCTTGCATACAATCGTTCTTTCACTCTATCAGCTGATGTTTAATACATACATACATAATACATTTAATACATACATTTATTTGTCATGAGAGCCGAAGCCCCCTGACTACATACCCGGTACCTATCGTGTGACATACCCGGGCCCCATGATGTAGGCCGAAGCTTACGCATCAACCTTTAGCACATCATGGGCGGATGACTTAAGGTCATCAAGCTCACCGGCTGCCGAAGCAGACCCTTCGGAAAGAGGGTTGCCCCTCAATCCTAACCAGGGATTCCGGCTACTTGTTTAAGCGTCACTCCAGTTGGGTTCCACCAGGTACGACACCCTGGAGGACCATACTGGAGCGCCCCGACGCATTTAGTGCAAGTAACACTCGGGACCTATCTAATCCCTGACAGGCAGAACCCGCCATCATAGCCAGAAGGAAGGGGCCGTCAGCGAGCTGACGGGGGAACCCCAACCTCCCATTTACACCACTACCCGATCGAGGCCTTACCCAGTTGCTGGGAAACCAGAGATAGCCAGAGCGATAGATCCCCGGATACCCCTGGCGGGCTCGGACCCAGCACCCGATCTACTTCGTTTGCCCGTCAGACCCAACATCACTGCCAGGCCATCAGGGTTTCCCAAAAGGAGGCAGGTATAGAAGTGGGACCCACCCGGATGAACCTATCCACCAAAGGTGGCGACACCCTTAACTCAATTGAGGTTCCGGGAAGAACCCCCCACACTCAAGATAACCATACCGTCCGTGATCAGAGACAGGGATTGGTTTGCATAAGTGCCTACAAACCGTTGCCTTCACACTGCGGAAAGTTACGTTTCCCTTGAGTGTCCCCATGAGCTGCGGGTACTTGCCCGTTTTCACCTCCAGGAAAGGCTACTTCCAAAGTCGAGGATATGCCACACTGAATGCTGGTCGCACACTACAAGCAGGCCGAAGCCCAGAGAACCACAGACACAGGTAGGTTGGAGATTATGATGCACTTCCATCTCTCCTAGAGCTAAACACCCCTTCCATCCTGGATAAAGGAATGTCACTGGGACCCAATGCCCAGTCGTCCATGTCTGTGGCCTACTTGCAATGCCGATTCCAACACCGGACAGTTGCCTCCTCTCTGGGGGCTATCAGCTGATGTGAGTGTAATTGTTGCCTGTGGTTGATCATTGTCTGTAGGTTGAGATCAGTAAATTTTGAGCAGTTGATCTCCCAATGCTTTGTAGCCATTGGGTAATTTGTTTTTTATATTTGACCAGTGGTCCAAAATAGTTTTCGCGTAAGTTGTAGGGCAGATTGTTGTAGATAGTGTGAGCAACATAGTAGCAATTTGTTGTAGAGTAGGTTCTATTTAGTCTCGGTAAATAAATTCCTCCACCTAGTGCATGTCTGGTTCTGTATTCGTGTGCTACTCTTTCAAAAATGTCATTCGAGTGTTTGAATATGTAAATAGTCAGTAAATAGTCATGGTTTGAATAACCAATTGTCTGATGTCGAGAACGTTCATTTCATTGAAGAGAGCATCCGAAGGGTAGCGCCGACTCCTGCCTAAGGCTGCTTTTATTATCGCTTTTTGGGTGATAATTAATGGCTTTAAATAACCATATGCACAGCCCCAGGCTATTATTCCTCCGTCAAGTAGGGACTGCACGTAAGCAAAATATGCAATTCTGATTTCTTCAAACTCCAAAATCTGCTGTAACTGGTTAAAAGCATAGATATATTTTCTTAGTTTATTATTTAGATATGATACGTGGTCTGCCCATGAAAGTTTAGAATCAATCATTATGCCAAGGTATTTATATTTTTTCACTCTATCTATCACTGGACAGTCACAATCCGAATCAAAATTAGCACAAGAATGAATTTTCAACTCATTGATGAGTGTATCACCACGATGACTAAAAGCGATTGGCATGAATTTAGTTTTATCTACATTGAGTGTCAAAACATTTTGATCAAACCATTTTTTAATTTTTGAAATACCTCTTTCTGCGAGGTTGAAAACTGTCTCCCAGTCTTTACCTTCAAATAATACTAGAGTGTCATCTGCGAAGAGATAAAACTTCCCTTCAATGTATATTTTAACTAGATTATTTATATATATTAGAAATAATAAAGGACCAAGGGTACTTCCTTGAACTACACCATACAACTGTGCGGTCGGACATTGCAAGTTTTTGTCGGTAGGCCTACCCGTAATCGTAAAATGTGTTTATTTATTATGTGTCCGTGTTGTATATTTAAACTTTTGACGACCTTTTCGAAGTGATAGATGTGTTTCTTGTACAAGATCTGATGATGAGGACTTAAGCTCCTCGAAACGCGTAATCCGTAAGGACCAACAGGATCACTCTGGCAGTACTCAGGTAATTTTATACCTTTTATAGTATTATTATTTTCACCACAATTATACGGTTTTAAGAGAAATTATAACCACATTTTCATATTTTTTTTTTAGGCCATACACACGTGAGTTACAATTAGTTGATGAAGTTGTTAGGTAACTTATTTTGCAATTCATTGTCATAATGCTGAAAAAGAAAATAAGTATGGGTATTATACCAGGTATACACCTACAAAAAAGTCCTAAGAAACTAATAACTTATTTTTCAAAATTATTGAAGTTTCATGTTTAATTTTTTTTTCAAACAATAACCGTTTATTAAAAGGAAAAATTGTCTTGCGTGGATGCGCGTGTACTTTATTTCTATGGCAGATTTTTTTTAGGAAAACGATTTGAAAATTAATGAATTCACAATAACTAATGTCTAGTTAACTTAACAGTAAACTAGATAACACAAGTCCAGGTAAACTGCAAAAAGTGATGCATTTTATAATACACAGACAACAGCGGCTTTTGCCAACAAAGATGGCGGGTTGTCGTGTACGCCCCATGTTAACTCACGTCAACCCGCCACCTCGCATGTAAGCGACAACGTGCCACCACGTCAACCCGCCATCACTATTTTATGAGGTGGCGGGTTGTCGTGTACGCTCAATGTTCGGTGTCGTCAACCCACCACCTCGCACGTAGACGTCAACCAGCCACCACGTCAACCCGCCACCACACTAAAGAGGTGGCTGTTTGACGTGTATGAACATGTCTAAGCACCACCAGGACAACGTGCCACCACGACAACCCGCCACCACACATTTTTCCGAGGTGGCGGGTTGTCGTGCACGCTAGAGTCAACGTGCCACCCCGACAACGAGCCACCACGTCAACCCACCACCTCAAACTTCTTCTTCTTTTTGATGGCGGGTTGACTTGGTGGCGGGTTGACGTGGTGGCGCCTTGGCGCGTTCCCGTACTGATTGGTATAGGCTACATGGCAACAAAGTACAATTATAATCTTACAATGTTGAAATGCAAACAAGCATAACTATCAAATGAATTTTGATATCTTTAGCTTTTATATGCTTTTTTATATGCTTTTATATAACTTTTAAATATAATTTATTTGTAATACAACTAAATTGTATAAGCAGTCATTTATGTACACTACTTTGATTACACAAATATATAAGTATACTGGCTACCTAATTATCCAGATGCAGACTTACTGGTAAAAGTTAAACTGTTGGTATAATGGTCATTGGTCAGGGAGGGGAGGGGATGGATGTCAAGTCAAGCAAGATTGGAATGTTTCGATTTCGTATTCGTTCGTTCTCGTTGTTGTCTTGTCAGTTGTCGTAAGTTGTGAGTTTAATTGACACATTTTTCGTTATCTTTTGTGTTTTGAATGAAAAGTATAGTAAGTCGTCGTTAATTTGATTTATTGAGGACATATCTGCCTTATGTAATGAGTGCTCTGTTAAATTTTCACTGTTGGTTTATTATAAACTGCAAAACCTTTTGGCGATACCAACAATATCAGGTTATGTGATGCAAGATTAATGGACAAACGTTTTAAACCATGTTCATATCTGACTAAATAGTCTCAATTTTGGATACATTATGTTTTAATGAGTGGTGAAGTGGACATTATATTTTGTTTTCATTAAAATATACCCTTTATGACATGCACGAACTAGGCGCCACTCAGTCACTAAACATTAGGCCTAGCCAGATCTAGTAGGCCTATCCTTAAACGACTTGGTATTTATGTTATGCAGTATCTGTATATCAAACAACTTAACTTCATGTAGGCTTAATATATTCATAGCAATCGCTGTTAGATATATGTTTGTGAATGTTAAATATGCAACCAGTGAGAAGACGCAAGAAACGTCCAAACTATGGTGTTAGGACCGTTGAATTAAGTAGAGGTAAAAATGGTTTTGGTTTTACTATATCAGGCCAGCAACCTTGTATTTTAAGTTGTATTGTACCAGGAAGTCCCGCAGAAAATGCAGGTCTGAGGGCTGGTGATTATTTAGTGGCAGTTGAAGGTCAGAGTGTTAGTAAAGTTCCCCATGATGATGTAGTGCGCTTGATTGGTGCTTCCACCGGTGTACTTAAGCTTCAAATAGCAGAAAATTACTATTCAGACAGCTCTGATGATGACGTAGTTGTGACTGCTAGGCAGAAGCCAAAATACCCGCATAAGCCACGAAATAATACACAAAATGTACGTGCTTCTGGAACTACTACTCAGCAGAGCCGAGCTGCCAAAGTTGTTCGAGACCTTCGAACAGGAGCCATGTTCGAAGAACAAGTTGCCATGCCGGTTGACCCTAAATTATCGGTTTTACCATCACCATTAAGAAATATAAAGCTTCTACCAGAATTAAATAGTATTAACCAATGGAAACCTCCTAATCTCTTATCAGCTCCACTATCCAGAATCATAATTCCTGGAACATCAAATGATCATTCAAGTATTCGAGAAAATATTGAAGAAGAAGCCATTTATCAAGCTGTTGTAGGATATTTAGGAACTATAGAAATGCCTAGAAAACTCCCTCCAGGCTCAAGACTGCAGGTATGTCCAAATATGAAATTTACAGACAAAACTTTGATGTCGCTTAAGTTAAGAGTCTTAAGTTAATGAGTTCAGTAGGCCTACAGTAGAACCCCGGTTAACCGAAATAAAGGGGGGAGAGCCGTTTTGACCGATTTTGATGATTAAAGTGTCAAAACAATGGCCCTGATCTGTAGTTTTGCAGTGGTTTTAATTTTTTAATTATCTTTATTAGTTTGGGCAGGATCTTCCAGCAAAGTTGGGTTTTCTCCCATAAGATTAACATGGGGGAATCTAAATATTTACCGTACCGTAACTTAATTGGAAAATTTGTCTCCACTAATTTAAGTGAACGGCTGGGCGTTGTAGATACTTGGTAGAGTTGTCCAAAGAAAGGTCTCGGTTTGTAGATGAGCCATCAAAAGAAAAACAAAGTAAATTCCCTTAGGGCTCTGCCCCAGAAGCCTTTAAAATTCCCTTCCCAGATTTGTTTACATTATCGTCATGGACGATTTTCACTACATATTAATGAAACAGCTGTTAATAGTTAAATTGTATTTTAAACAACCCACATTAAAAGGGAATAGGTGAACCCGTGCAAATTCGCACGAATAATAAATTAGGATATTATAGAACGTCGTTAGAAGTTGCGTCGTTGTATTGGTATTGGTTTTGAGCTCGATTGTTGACTATACTGTATGCATTCTAAGTTCTTTTGCTGTTCAGTAGTGAGTATTTTGCAGGACGCAACTAATCATGCTGAAAACTAGCACGTATGGATTAATATCAACCAAATGTTGAGTCAAAATGTGCATGAGTTCAGTGCTGCAAGAGCCATTATTAGCTTTGTTTAGCATTCTTTCTTGAACAGCGGTTTTGATGTCCGTGGATATAAATTTGGGCATATGTGGGATGCTCCCCTTCTGACGTTTGAAAGGTGCCAATTGGGTGATAAATTGTGTCGTGCACCTTGTGAAAGACCCTGCACCGTTATGTTCTTCAATTTTAGCTCGAGTGCTGACCATTGCGAGCGCAGAGTTGTTCGATCAAATGTTCTCTTTGTAGTTTCTGCTCAAATGATTTGCTCCATTAAGTAGGCTCTGGATATAATAGATTCCTCGGTTAGTGGTAGATTCACTTTTCCTTTATGGCAGCAGAATGAAAATCCTTCACCTCGTCTTCTTTGTTCTTCTTTAAAATGTAGCGCACCACATTTCTGACATTTTAATGCCATCTCGCCAAGTGAATGCTGCTGAATTCTTTAGTTGTCAGTGTAATTTTGTAAGAGTACACGTTGCCACTAACTGTTCCAGCTCCTCGTCTGGGCTCCTTACGTTTTACATTGCTTGCCGTATGTTGACTCACCGTGTCCGACCGGCAATATTTCTTTGTCGTGGGGTCCTTGGCATGTTTAAACGAAAATATAAAATGTAGCCTAAAACTTTTCTCTCGTCGTGTCCTATAGGTAACATTTCTTTGCCGGGTTTCTAATTATTTTTAAAAACATGCAAACTGTTTACATTTTAAAACCAAACAAAACAGCTGGGATTTAATTTTTCTTTAAACTAATGTATTGAAATCTGTTTCAGAATATAATCACATTCAAATCAATCACAATATTATCCTTATGGAAGGAACTTTGAGGGCAGCCCACGCCCTTAAAAAGATATATTTCGAAAATCTAAAGCCAGTTTGCACATCTACACACCTAGACGAACATTTTGGTATATAATATATATGGGTTTTTTTAAATACAAAACAAAACAAATGAATTTGGTATCTTAAAACAAAAAAGCCTTAAGTTTCATGTCGCGTATTAAATAGGCCAATATAGACGATTTTTTTTATTAGTCAAAAATAATTATTTGCAATGTTATTTTCTGATTTTTTAATTGGTTTTCTTCTCCATCATATCATGTTTTGCAATATTTAACGTTTTATTACAAAATAGGCTTATGTGGAAAATTTTAATATCACAGTACCGGTAACTCTTAAAATTATTTCTTAATAAATTATACGAGCTGTTGGCCCGTCCTACATACGGGAATCGAGTAGTCAATTAAAACTGAATATGATTCAGAACTCAGCTAGTTTACAACTTGGTGGCCGATTCACACACACTAGCTTTGAGTACAGTAGGTAGGCTACATACCACCTTCCACTGCATAGGCCTACTATCACTTACCTTACCTTATTTTACCACCTTGGCCACTGAAACCTCTAAAATAATCCTGGCCTTCCGTTCTCTTCTATCCCCTGCCATTTCTGGATGACAGGAAGATACCAGTCTGAAGATGTCTTTCATTACTTGGTCTTCCAAGTGGTCGTCTACCTTGTAGTAGGCCTATTCTTACTCCTTGGAATACACTTTTAAAAGTTGAAGTATCTTCTCTCCGCCATGCAAAGCCTGCCCAGCCCATCCGAGATCCGAGCCTTTTGGTCTACTTTTGGAATGTACCCCTTTATCAAGTTTCTGAATCATACAGTACTATACTGGGATAGTTATGGTATGGTATGAATCGATTTTGGTTTCTAGGCTACTGACAACCTGCAGCTTACTGGTCAGTTTTCTGGAGACCTACTACACCGGTTGACATTTTCATTACGGATGAAATGTGTACTGTATGCAGTAATACTTATATTCAAACATCTAGAATAAGATGTATGAACAGGTAAACCACTTATATCTTAAAGGATTAAGCACTTATACTTAGACGGATTGCATTTATGACAAAACTTGATTATACGTTTAAAATGTTTAGTTCAAAATTACACAATCTCCTGATAACATAGATCTTTTACGGTAGAAAATAAACTGCATTTTAAAGTAAAATAGTGTGTAGGCAAACTCTGACGATCAATATTTTTGTATACAAACAACTTGTAACATAAACATTTCAATGACAGTTAGAAACCAGCTGTTAGTTAAACCACCACTAAAACGACTTTAACTCGTCCGTCGACTGCTAGACTTTTTGAAAATTAAAACTTAATTTCTAAAAATCTGAAACCCTAAACTAAAATTATGGCTTCAAAATTCCCTAGTTCTCAAAATTATCTTTCTTTCAACACAAAAATCATAAAAATCCGTCAAGTGGTTGATTCAGAATCGTGAAATTAAAAAACCCTGTTTCGTTTTAATATATAGGATTATTATCTATACCTATCTATTGTACGGGTTGGTGTCTGCCTTTTTGACCACTTTTGCCTAGCCTATATTTTATCATATTATTGAAGGCAGATCATAGGTTTATGAGATTATTGTCATACATGTTTCAATCATTGGAAAGATTTTTGATTGTGTAGGCCTAACACAGTATAAAATAATACAAGTGCAGAAGGGCAGTTGCCCATATGAGCCGTGCCCATATATTGTTAAATTAATATTGGTTGACAGCAACTGGATTAGATTTTAATAACTTTTATGTAGAAATAATAATACATGTGCAAGAATTAGAAAGTCATTAAGCTGGAATATTACAATTTACTGCAGACTTTTCAGAGGGGTTACTTCGATGTATTCATTCAGCTTAGTGAAAACATAATAGGCCTATGGATAATAAAAACGTAAACTTTAGCCATTGAATGATATTAGACTAACAAAAAGGGTTGCAATGTTTACTAGCGTTAGGCCTACTCAGCAACAAAAACCATATATTTATCTCTAAAAGAAATATTCTCAAAGTGCACCGAGCAGCAGCCTAATAAAGTACTATGTACCGGTAACTTACCCAAATAGCTTCATAAAAACACTTGACAGATGATTTGCAGAGGCCTAATTACGGACTTGGTCATGAGATCTTTTAAAATAACACTACACTTCGACTGTAAAAAATGGCACAAAGAGTATATTACCATTTAAAAGCAGCTACTGTCATGACAGAAAGGTCATGTTCCTTTTAAAATAAATCTCATCATCCTTTATAAGATACGGTACGAGCCTTTAGTATTTAATATTAAGCTAAACGAATTTCAAGGTCCGATTTTTTCATTTTGTTGTTTGAACGTTAATATCTTTGGAACCAATGTATATATGTATTTATGTATTTGAGTGGGGCCAAAACTAAAATGTTTAGGAATTATTTGAAGCTGTCTCCTCATATTTTCATTAGGGTACCTTAGTTGTATATGGGAAGCAAAAGTTTAATAATTTTTTTTCATATGAAATGTTTTTTTAATATATTTACATAGTAGCCTATAGGCCTACCTATTAGGTACCAAAATTTTTCATTATACCAGTGCAATTACATATAATAATATGAAATCAATCAATCACTTAACACCTCTTATATATATACTAGGTGAAACCCGTCGAAATCGACGGTTACTTTCAATGCTTACGTTAATTCATCTAACTGCGATAAATTTGGTGAAATATACATATTTTGAGCATTTAGCATTGTTTAAAGAGTAATAAGTGTAAAAACAATAATGATAGTAACTGTGTTAGTTTTGGCCAAATTTGGTTGATCATTCAATGAATAAAATATTTCCCATACCGTCATCGAAGTTATTATTAGTATATTATATGGTATCTGTTCCTTTGGAAGAACCTTTAAATAGTATTAAAATAGTATTGGTGGATCTTTTGTAGTTAAACACTTCCGTTATTTCATCAGTGTAATATAATTTTATTTCAAAAGAAAATATCTTTTGGGAAGACATATTCTAACTTCAAAGGGAGGTATATCCGTTACCGTACAGTGTAAGTTTTATTTTTCCTTCGTCACGTCGCGTCAGTTCATACCGTACTTCTGTGCCAATGAATGAACCCTCTAGCATAGTTTTGAGAAATTGATTGTGGGGTTACTGTTAAAGCTGGAATTCCTTGGATGTCAGTTACTTGCATCGATATATAACTACTATAGTAGTAGTTATATATCGATGGTTAGTTGTCTCAGCCTTATCAATAACATAACGTTGTCAATATAATCTCTCTACGGAATGTTAGGTGTAGTGGAATAGGTACTTGAAGTGAAGTTGGCTTTTATTTTTGAACTGTTAGGGGCCTCCTAGTTCATATGGTCTTGCAGCTTCATTGTCAACAAATAATGCAAAAATGACATGGCGATGGGACATTTCCAAAAAGCAAAAAATTGTTGATTGGCTGTTAAGTATATATTGACGTTTACATATTGTTAATCAACGTATCTAGGATTATGTGATCTAGTTTAAAAGGAATATGATATTTCTGTCATGACAGGAGCTGCTTAAATAGTATTTTCTCTTTGTACCACATTTTACAGCCAAAATGTTGTGTAATTTCCAATAATGTTACCAACCCAGTGCGCCAAAGTTCATAATATAGGCAGGTGCAAACAATTTGTCAAGATAGGTGTACCATTTTAGGCAAGGTTTCTATGTTTTGGGGATTTCATTAGACACGATAAGAGCAAACATTTCTACATGAATATTTGATATGTGTAGAATAATATGATAAAATGTAGGCTAAAGTGGTGAAAAAGGCAGACACCAACCCGTACAATAGATATAAGATAGTTCAATAAGAAATAATTTAAGAATTGCTGTGATGATAAAAGGATTTTCCACTGATTTCGTAATGAAACGTTATATTGCAAAACATGACATGATAAAGAAGAAAATCAATTTTAAAACCAGAAAATAACATTGCAAATACTTATTTGGTAGAATCAGAATTCAGTAACTCCCAATAAATATGTGTTGTTTCAAATAAATTTAAAAATGATCAGCTGTTTCATTAAAAAGTATTATTCACATGGCCAAAATGTAAACAACTCTGTAGAGGGATCTTTAAAGGCTTCTGGGGCAGAGTCCTAAGGGATTTTGCTTAGTTTTTCTTTTGATAACTCATCTACAGACCAAGACCTTTCATTGGACACCTCTACCAAGTTTCTACGCCCAGCCGTTCTCTCAAATTAGTGGGGACAAAGTTTCCAATTAAATATTTAGATTCCCCCATGTTAATCTTATGGGATAAATTCCAACTTTGACGGCCTGTGGAGCAAAGCCCGAGGATTTTTATTACATGAATTGGTGAAAGGGGGCATCTACACAAAAAATACTTTATTTTGACACGTTGTTTGTAAAAATCCGTTCATTATTTACGGAGGAGTAGTGTTTTGTAGAAATCGCCTTCACGTATTATATACTACAGGGTGACCGTTAAGTGTTAGGACGACTTTATAACTTTTAAACGACAAACGATTTCACAACCACATTTGGTATATCGTTACTGGAAATTGTAAGCTACTTTTCTGTGTACATGGTGGTCGGATATCACCTTTGGGGGACGGCCCGTCGGGGGTCAGAAGAAAATCTTTAATGACAGCCTATGTTGAGTTGTACATCATTTTAAAGGTCTAATTCAACTGAACATTGGTCCCCTGCCCGTTGCTCGTGCTTGTCGTCGTATGGGAATCCGGCTCACCGCACGGACCCCTGTCGTCGTCGTATGGGAGTCCGGCTCACCGCACGGACCCCTGTCACTGCCCCTTCCACCGCAGTGAGACGTGATGACCTTCCATTGACGATAGTCGTCATCCCCGAATCGTCTACATGTCCACAAGTAGCCCCGTGAACAGAATCTGGTTCACCACACAGATCCCAGCGTCGTAGCGGTACCTGGGGAGCTCCGCCTGCCGCTGTAGTCGGGGTTCGGATCACCCACCTCACGTCGCAGCTACTACGCCTTCACTGCAGGCTGCTCATCCATCGTGGCCCCAATCGAGACTACAGCCGTTAGCCATCCTCACCTGGTCTTCGCCGCGGCCTGGGTTTTCCAGCCCGCGCGACCTATATCGATACTACAGCCAAGGAACCTACTCGTACGTTTTCGTCGCTGACATCCTGGGTGTCCGGTTTATCACACAGACATGTCTCACTGCCCCGTCTGCCGCAGTGAGCTGCGTGGTGGCCGTCCGTTCGTAGTTGTTGAGTGCCACCCCTGATGCGAGCTACTTACATCCTTCGCATGTAGTCATCGGGGATCTGGTTTATCACACGGTCCCGTGTCACTGCCCCGTTCGCTGTAGTGATCCGCGTGGTGGCCGTCCGTTCGTAGTTGTCGTTCGCCATCCCCGATGCGAGCCACTGGTTGGGTTTACACCACGCCAAGATCCGCCACAACGGTTCAACACTCGTTGGGTACACGTTGACCAAGCCCCGGTTTTCTCACTGACCGTTGTTCTCCGTTGCAATGGTTGGTTTATCATGCAACCACTGCCGCTGGATAATCAATCGAAGAACACCAAAGCTGGCCAACAGCGTGATTTGAGTTCCTCTGGTTGGTTTATCACACAACCCCAGGCGTTCGAGAATCGTAGTAGGCTAGCTGATGACTGCTCTAGGTCGATCTTCCGTCCGCTAACGAGTCGCTAGTTCCATCGTTGTGAGTTGGTCGTCACTCCAGGTAGGTTTAACACGGTACCAGCTGCCGAAGCGTCGTTGAGTACCATGGTCGTCACCAAAGGTAGGTTCAACACACTACCACAGCTGCCGAAGACACGCCGACTCGCCAGTCCCAGACGTCAAATGGTTTCACACCATAGGCCAACGCTATCTAATTCGCACTAAAACAATCTCATCACCTGTCGTAAACTCATAACACAAAAGATTAAAACACATACTAATCATTAAACATGAAATAATACTCAAAGGGTTAGTCACGGATTATCTCACATGACACTAACCAAACATCATTAAACAGAGATTAAATTACCAGACAGAATGGATACAAAAATGCCTTGTTACTTCAAACGAAAATAGCTAAAGTTGGAGGCCCTTCCAATGAAGCAAACAAACTCCACTATTAATGTTTTTAAAATACAGTAACATATGATTCTTCATGTTTATCTTACATCTGTTTAAAAATAAGTCGTTGTTATGTTTTTATAAATAGAAACTTTTAATGTTGCTAAAAAATGTCTCCTTTATTTAGAACTAATTAATTAAAACTAAACAATTAATAAAGTAACTAAGGCCGAATTATACATTAATCTCTAACATCTTTATGGCAAACACGTAATTTGAAACCATAAAACAACGTAAAACTCAGGCCTAAGGCCACTACTACCAACACGCCATGCGTGCCGATCGGGACATGCTAAACTAGCACAACTAATCTCAGTAGTCACTGGCTACAACTAATAATTTTGTATGATGAGATTAAATTGTTTTGGGCTTACTAAAATGGATTAAAAATACACTGACCTCGTAATATTGTATTCGTTACGTTTTGGGTTTAACACACCATCGTGATCAAGTCGACTTAGCCTAAGTCCATTGGTTTAACCAGAGTGAAAATATAAAATCTAGTAAAACTGATTTTAAAAACTAGTATTTTACACCCTGGCAGTAGTTAACTCGGTTTACTTTATATCTATTGCAATATAAGACTTACAATTTTACTTGAAGTATCACGCGAGCTAACTAATGCTTCACCAATAACGATGTCGGGACGTGACTAACTCGAACTTATCGTGGTAGTTGCTGGTGAGGAAATAACTTTCTTGTTTCTTACTTGCCGTCTGAGGGTTCCCCGGTTCATCCCTCTCGCTCCCCTCTCTAGCAAAGTAGGGGGCTCAGCTGATCCGGAACGTCTGCTGTTTCTTAACCCGAAAAAAGCTAGCCGGCCGCCGTCGTCTGCAGCCGCCAACACTCGAGCTTGTTGTTGTTGTTGACTGTAGGTTATGTTGTGTTTGTTTCACACGACAATGAGTTTTAACTTCAAGTAGTCAGTTTATATTACTCACTCCGCATTTCCTCACGTCTTTGAAACGGATTATTGGCCTAAGGCCATGATCTGCAGGTTTACTAAGTGTAGAAAGTTTCTTCGAAGTACCAAGCCGGGTTGAGCCCTAGCTTGCGAAACACATAGCTGGTGAGTCAATAAGCTATAAAACACTGTATAAGGTTCATATCACGCTCATACAGTATTAATAACTCTCATTCTACACTTATTTATCACCAAACACAACAGTGTATCATGCCTATACCTAAGTGATGATGTTATAACTAAGGTTAGCCTTCTAACCTATAACCTTAGTTAGGACTGGTAGGCTATGCCTAGGGATAGGCTAGACCAACAAATAGGCCAGTTTGACCCCCCCTCAAAATAGGCACGTTACAACTTCTATAAGGAACCTAAATACTTTTTCTACATTTAAAGACATGCCGGTGATAAGTTTGAATTATATCATGATTTTTTACCAACATATTTTAAAGTCTGTATCATCCCTAAACATAACTGTACACTTGCATTTATATTTGTTGCAGATTGTACGTGGTTGCATTAAGCGTCTTAGAGCAGAGAAACGCAGCCATACTGCTGTTCTGATGTCTATATACAACCAAAGTCTTAAACTCACCAACAGTTCTGGCCAAGTATTAGCAGTGTACCCTGCTGATAGAGTGACATTTTGTGGTGCAAGCTCAGAAGAAGACAGAAGATATTTTGGTATAGTTACAACTTCAGCTGATGAAGATCCTTCTAATTCTTGCCACGTATTTGCTGTTGATACACGCTCCCATGCTGAACACTTACAACGAGCACAATCTTTTAAAATAGAGTGTAATATCGAGCACGCTACAGGACAATGTAGGGAGTTTCCACAAAACTGTGACCCAATTATAACTCCCATCAGAATGTACTATGAAGCTGGTGGGATGAGACAGAACGAAGTCGATGAACCAGTCATGGCAAACTCTCCTCAACCCAGTAATGACAGCACAACAACCACTAGTAACAGTGATTCTGGAATAGGATTTCGTGATGATTGTGGGAATCAGTCTGATAGAATTTTGGTTGTAGACGTTCAAAATCAGAGATTACACATTCAACAAATTGACGATTCTGATCAGCCAACTCACCGAGTCAGCACCGTCCAGTGTACCCAGAGACTCACTGTTAGAGCCATGCCTGATCCCGTGGTACCTAGTGGTCATAGAAGTCAATCTCCTTTGAGCACAAGCTCCGATAGTCCAGAGGGCATAAATGAGAATATGAGCTTTAGTAGTGGTGCAGCAAAGAGTCCTGATGTCACCATGCAATCAGCGGAGTGTAACAAAAGTAATGCTTCGGAAAAGTCCAATAGCATGGTATTTAATGGTGTAGAGATCAATGGTAATAGATCAGCTGATGACATGAGTTTAGGAAGTGCTCGAAGTCAAGATGCTTTGTTAATGTCTTACAAACTCAGTCCTAAAGTGTTTAATGTACCTCACATGCAAGCTCCTCCAATGTCACATAGCCTTGAAGACCTAAAGGTTACAGAACAAACGCGGGACCAAAATGCATCTAGCTTAAACCGGAGCCAATGGGGCAGCTTGCAAGAACTAAGAAGCTTTGTATCTGACTGTTTTGAGAGTTCAACTGCCGTTCAAAATCTGGTGAGTTTCTTTTGTAATATTCTGTAAATATATATATTTTTGTTATTGTCAGTAATATCACATGTTTGAACATTATATCTTCAATTTCATTTGTAGCAAATTGCAAATACTAGAATGTAGCATTTTAAGTTGTCTATGGCAAAATGCTAAAAATGCTACCGCAGTTTAAACCCTGAGGCATTCTTTACAATGCTTATGCTTAGCAATTGCTCGAATTCGAGCAACAGGGACATTAGTATATTTATATATATAATACGCTAAGCCGATTTTTGTAAACAGAACTCCTCCCACATTTTTGGACCGATTTTGATGATTAAAATGTCAAAACAATTGCCCTGATCTGTAGTTTTGCAAAGTGTGTTTTGTTTTTTGATATCTTTATTAGTTTGGGCAGGATCTTCCATCAAAGTTGGGTTTTCTTCCATAAGATTAACATGGGGGAATCTAAATGTTTAATTGGAAACTTCGTCTCCACTAATTTGAGAGAACGGCTGGGCGTAGAAACTTGGTAAAGGTTTCCAAAGAAAGGTCTTGGTCTGTAGATGAGTTATCAAAAGATAAACGAAGTAAATTAGCTGAGGGCTCTGCCTCAGAAGCCTTTAAAGATCCCTCGACAGCTTTGTTTACATTTTGGCCATATAATACTTTTTAATGAAACAGCTGTTAATTTTTAAATTGTGTTTTAAACAACGCACATTTATTGGGAGTAACTGAGTTGTCCAGAAGAAGTATTTGCAATGTTATTTTCTGATTTTAAAATTGATTTTCTTCTGTATTATGTAATATTTTGCAATACTGTATAACGTTTCATTACGAAATCAGAGGAAATTCCTTTTATCACAGAACTCTTACAATAATTTCTTATCGAACTATCTAATATCTGTTGTACGGGTTGTTGTCTGCCTTTTTCACCACTTTTGCCTATATTTGATCATATTATTCTACAGATCATCATAGGTTCATGAGATTATTGTCATACATGTTTTCAATCATTGGAAAAATAGTCGAATGTGTAATGCAATACAAAATAATACAAGTGCAGAAGGGCACGTTGTCCATTTTAGCCGTGTCCATATTATGTTAAATTAATAGTAGTTTACAGCAACTGGATAAAACTTTTTACAATATTTATGTAGAAATATGTCCACGATTTAGAAAGTCATTAAGCTATAAATCTGCAATTTACTACAGACTTTTCAGAGAGGTTGCTATAAAGTATTCATTCATCATAGTGAACACATAATATATATATGTGTACAAATAAGAATTTGAACTCTTAGAGAGCCTTTTAATGTTATTAGAATAACGAAATGGGTTTTACATGTTTACTAGCGCTACTCAGCAACAAAAACCGTTTAATTTTTCTCTAAAATATATATTCTTAAAGTGCACTGAGCAGCAGCCTAAAAAATACTATGTAACTTACCCATATAGTTACAAAATGCCTGAACTCGCATTGTAACATTTATAATTTGGCGTATATTTCTCCAGCAGATTATTTATCTGCAGAAGAAGTTTATTGTGCTCTTATCATGTCTAATAACATCCAAAGACAGAAACCTTGCCTAAAATGGTACCTATCTAGAGAAATTATTTGCAGTAGGCCTATCCTATATTACGGACCGCGGCCCACTGGGTTGTTAACATGATTGAAAATAACACATTTCGGCTTTAAAAAAGGCATAAAGAGTAAATACTATTTAAGCAGCTACTTAAAGTACATTCCACTTAACCTAACTTTCCGTAGATGAATTAGCGTAAGCCTTGAGAGTAACCGTCGATTTTGACGGGTTTCACCTAGTATATATATAATACGCTAAGCCGATTTTTGTGAACAGAACTCCTCCCTCATTTTTGGACCGATTTTGATGATTTAAGCGTCAAAAGAATGGCCCTGATCAACAAAAAAGTTAAGTAGTTTTGCGAAGTGTTTTTATTTTTTTGAAATCTTTAAGTTGGGTTTTGTCCCATAAGATTAACATGGGGGAATCTAAATATTTAATTAACTTTGTCTCCACTAATTTAAGAGAACAACTGGGCGTAGAAACTTGGTAGAGGTGTCCAAAGAAAGGTCTTGGTCTGTAGATGAGTTAGGTATCAAAAGAAAAACAAAGTAAATTTTCTTAGGGCTCTGCCCCAGAAGCCTTTTTTAAAAGATCCCTCCACGGATTTGTATTTATTGGACGAAGTGATGTTAATTTTCGTTGTAGACTAGTTGCTGGTTGGCTATCGGCAAACCAAAGACATGGTGTTCTTTCTGCGTGTTGGTTTTGGTTATCTTTGAGTGAGACAGCAGTAAACTATATGTCGAGTGCATATTCCTTGTGATGTTCGATATAGTGAATCCAACATTCTTGAAGTGTGGAATTGGTGTATATTGAGGTTTTGGAGGAACTGTTGTTAGTTAGAGTTAGAGTTTTATTAAATTCCAGTCAATATTTGGGACTGGAATTGGTTTTCTTCCCAATTATTATTCTCCAAAACTTCATTTTATACACTTTATACATAATTTCACACTTTAGAAAGTGTTTTTAAGCTGGGGTCTGGGTCATAAATTTGTACCACCTCTGTCTTGACCATTATTTGAAATTACATATGTAGTAAAGACAGATTCAGGGATATGACAGTCTCCCCCACTAATTAAGAACAATCTTTTTCAACTGGTAGTCTCTAAATCTTGAGGGCATGTGACGCTCACGCTGTGGTCTGGCGTTGGTATTCTCAGCTTGCTCTTGATGTGGTATGACATTCTCAGCTTGAGCTCTTTCTGGAGATTGTACTTCTGGTTGCCTTGGTTCTGGAGCTGCAACTGGATCTGGATTCCTATATATTTCTGGTCGTCTTGGAGTTCTGGGAACATCAAACGACTGTGTTGGTCCAAATGTAACAGTTCTCGTTTTTGTCCTCTGTACCAGAGTTGGGCATAGTTGATTGATGTGCCTCTTCAGGATTCTATCAGATGAGTCGAGAACTACGAGATAGTGTCTTTTCCCAAGCTTCTTCTTTACCAAACTGCCATGTGTGCTTATTATTGATAAACAATCGAACCTTTCCCCTCTCCCCCACTTTTAGAATACGTGCAGGTGGTGAAGACTGGGTAGTTGAAGGTTGAGGTCTGTAAGGAAAGATGGCATTCAGTCTTTTAAAAATGTCAGGAGTCTGGATTCTTTTTAATTGAGAAATTTGAGTGCTTTGATGTGTGTTGTCATTCAATTTGTTCAGTTGAATTCCTAGTGCTCTTATCCATTGACTTCCCAAGAGTGCTTCATGTCCTGTTGGGACAATGTGGAGTTCCTCTTTGATGTATCTTCCACGGTAAGAAACGTTTATTTTCACTTTTCCTTCAGGTTGGATAATATCATCACCTGAGTAAGTTTTGAAAGCAATGTTAGTTGATTCTATTGGAATGTTCAATTTGAGTTTGTCTAAATCATTTTTGGCTATAAGTGAGAATTTTGCTCCTGTGTCTACTTTGAATCGTTGTGGTTTACCATTGAGATTTACTGTGATCATGTATTTGTCTGAGTCATTATTTACTTCAAACAAATCTTCTAGCTTCAGGCTTGAATTGACATTAGTTACTTTATTGAGTACGTAATCAGGATATGTCAATGTAGAATCCGTAGGAGAACAGCACTGGATGCAGTTGGCTGCACTGGGAGAAATGATTTTCTTCTGTTCTGCTATAAGGGTCGAAATGCACACTTTAGTTATGTGTCCTTGCTTGTTACATTTGTTGCACTTGAGCTTAGATTTGTCGGTGCGACACTCGGATGCTTGGTGATTGTCTTTTCCACACCTGAAGCAAAGATTACCAATTCCAAGAGATTTCAGATCTGGACGTGTTTTAAAACGTAAGGAGTGACACTGTTGCTGTCTGGAAGGTTGATTACCAGTTTAGAATTGAGATTGCTTAGATTTATGTGAAACTTTATTCACATCGTCAGACATATTGAAAATGGCATTACTTGAATGTGAATGTTTAGACAGTTCCCTGGATTCAATTTTTGATGCTTCGAGGACGATTGCTCTGGTAAGGATTCCTTCAAAAGTAGTTTCAGTTGACTGTAGAATTTGTTGTCGTAGCCAGTCATCTTGCAAACCCCGAATAAACTGGGCTCTCAGGAAAACTTTGGCAATTGAAACTGTCTGGTCACATGAACACTTGACAGAAAATTCACACTCAGCAATGTCACTTTGTAAGGAAGCCACGAATTCTGTTATTGGTTGGTGTTCTTTTTGAAATACATTAAGAAAATAGTGCTGAGATACTACAACGTTCTTCTTAGGAATCAATAACTGCTTGAATGCTGTGATAAACTCAGTGCCGGATTTACCACTGGCCGCAAGCAAAAGGGGGCCGCAGCGGCAGCGGTAAAAAAAAAAAAATTATAAGTGCTACGATGTCACACAGAGCGCAAAAGGAGCGGTTAAAATTGTTTTTATAAAATTATGTTTTTCTTAAGCGCTACGAAGTCACACAGATCAACGACGTAGTGATGTATATGTGTGTATGGTCAACGGTACTACCTTTACGTAGTTCGTAGTTGTCGGCGTCAGTCAGTGTGACTGCGTCGTTGGCCCGTCGGATGTAGAGAGATAGTCACTTCCTTTCCCACGAAAACGAGGAATTCGCGAAAACGGAAGCGGCCCCTCCATATCCATATTCATTCTTTTTATTACTCAGTTTGTCTTATACTTTGCTAGTGACAAGTACAGTTTTTCTTGCTGGTAATTTATTATTGTGTTTTATACGATTTCTGAATGATGGATAGTTAAGTTTAAATATGTTGTAAACAATTATTGTGAATTGTAATTGTGGATTCGGTGAACTATTTCACAGTGAGCTATGGACTAACAGGTAACATTTTTTGCTCTTATATTGAATGACAACAATAAAAACATTCATAGGGCTAGTGGAGCCTATAAACGCAAATTGAAAAAACTTAAAGAAGAACAAAGTTTAAAATTGTTAAAAACTAATTCTAAAATAGAAAGTT